GAGTACATACAACATACGCCACAGTCATACTCGTCAGGCACCGCCAAGGCCCGACGAGATACGCCACTGTGGGCGGTGCCTGCCCACAGTGGCGTATCTCGTCGCCGCGTGTTCCAGACTTACTACAAACAGTGTCTAAACGGAGCGGCGAAAACAAATCCCCAAAATTGTCCGCCCGAAAGCCACGAAAATGTTGAAATATGTAGATTCTGTAATAAATATTATTTGTCACCCCTTTCCATCCCACTGCCATGAACGACGTCGAGCTCGATGACCCCGACCTCGCCCACAACGTTCCGGCCTATGTACTGGATAGATTTCGTGAATGGGTAATTTTCTGCGGTCAATTCTCGTCTCAACCTCACTCTGATGCCTCCTTTTGTAGAGATACTCCTCTCATGACATTCAAAAGGACCCAGGAAAATTTATTGGCACTGCTTGGGTCGATGCTGCCGAGCTGAGAACCTATCTGAAGACGAACCCTGCTGCTCTCCTGCGTTCTCGAGCAGGGAGTGAAGTTTCCTTCTCAGGCTCTGCGCCTCCTTCTCGTTCAGTGTCACGCATGAGTTCCGTTTCAGTCAAGATGGAGCCCGGTGAGGCGCCCGCTGTGAAGTCTGAGCCAACCGATGACGAGGTGTTACTCTATGGGGATGTGGGAGCCCGACGCCAGCGCCGTTCGAGCGCCTCATCGAGCGCTGCTTCACGCTGGTCATCATTCATCGCTCCGGATGGTACAGAGGGTCTGGAGCTTCTCGATAGCGACGACGAGGTCGCTTCTATACTTGGGACCGTGCCAGGAAACTCTAGTCGTTCATCATCTCGCTCGTACACCCCCACCTCTACCTCCTCTTCTCTTGACGGCCATGACACTCCCTGCGCGCCTGATGACAATACTCCCAGCGGCTCCTTGGTTACCGACATCGCAGCAACAGTTTGGCACGACGAAAGCGTACAATCTGTCCCCGAACTCGGCTCCCCAACCTTCTTTATCACTCGACAATGCAGAGTCAAGGTCCTTGAGACCGTCCACGGCCTTCCTCACTACTACCCAATCCCTCGTGTCTCTACCGGCTATGTCCTAGATCTCCGCGACCCCCAATACGACTTCAGTGATCTCGTTGCTGGCAAGCGTCCGCCGCCGGATCGAGCGGACTCCATTATTTTGAACCGGGTACGTCTACTTTGCTTCCCCTTCCCCTCATGATCTGACGACTGCATCCTGTATGATGCAGGACCAAGATTCATGGGCCTCGCATGGTGCAGGAAAGAACTGTACAACAGCAGATATACCAGGTGAACGGTTCGGTTTGGCCCAAGGACTCGTAAAGTGTCGACGTGTTCGCATGGAGTGCAAGGGCACTCAGCACTGCGAAGACGCCGACCTATCCATCATCAGCGGCGAGCGTTTCGAGCTTGAGCCCGAGAAGCGAGCCGCTCTTTTTGATGCACAAACGCGCATTCGTATCCAGGAGGGAATGGATGCCAATCAACGTGTAGCAACGTATGTTCAGACCTTCATCACATAATCTATAGCTCGATGTATCGTATTGACCAACGGTCTCGTAGGTTTTGGCGCTCCATACAGACCCGCCCTTGCCCGTTTCCCAAATGTGGCGGAGGCCTCTCACAGGCTCGATACCAAAACGTACGTTACATTCAATTCTCATTCCCATGCATTGTCATCATGCCATATCCAGGGTGCGAAGAACGGCAAGACCTACTTCATCGGTTGTACGGGGTTCAGGCGAGGCGAGACCAATCCTGGTCATCGTTACATTGCAATACCCACGGACGTTGACGAACATCGTCTGTCTCGCATCATCGCTGGCCAGCCGCTCCCACCACCAGAGGACTCCGATTCGACTTCACCGATCATTGTTAAGCGTGCTAGCTGTTCGTTCATGGTACATGGCCGTATTGGACGCAGGGCTATTAAATGCAGTACGTTTCGAAGTCTGTCTTCTATTTTGATCGTTACTGATGAGTCTTTCGACATAGAGTTTACGCATATTGTCGACGGTGTGCCAACAACCATGAAGACCGTCACACGAGCCTGCCCAGCATCTCGAACCATCTTCGTTCCCATGGACGCCTCTCTCCAACGCCTAGCCATCGTGGTTCCCGACCACACAAGCCCACACAACCATCCGATGCCACCGTTCACCAAGGTCGATGCGGATGGTAAGTTAGTGTTCCAGAAGGTATCTCAGGTCTTCGGAGTAGTTGGTGCAACGGTCAATAAGATCGGCAAGGGTACGTACTGACTATATCTCCATGTACTCCCTGAATTACATAGCTCATCACTCGATATCACAGCCGCGTCAACACAGGTGGTGCTCGGAGGCAAGACACTGACGGCGTACAACCCAGCCTTCCTTCAGAGTCGTGCGAAGAATGATATTCTCCGTGGACTCAAGCTGTCGAGCTTTCCGTCACGCCGGG